TACGATCTTTTAGGATTGAATCCAATTAAATTTTTACTAGTAATTTTGTTCAAATTAATCTTGAAATAAAATATTGCATAAATAATAATGAAAAAATGTCATATTTGGATCATTGGATGAAAGAATTTAAGGCAAATGCGTCAAAAAAATACGTTCTTGACGTTTCATATTTGTATTATTTACAAATACAAATTTTATTAAAGTTATGTTTGATAAAATATAATTAGTAGATTTTTATTAAATACAATATTGAGTAAGAGTTTTATACAAAAGTAATTTTATAAAAAGTATATGATTATAATTATTGTTATTTCTGTTATAAAAAGGTCAAATATAATATAAATATGGGTTCTTAGGATTGAATCTAATTAAATTTTTATAAGTAATTTCATTCAAAATTAATTTTGAATTAGAATATTGTGTAAACTTGTAACGTAGCTAATGCAGGTCAAATGTAATATAAATATGGCTTTTTAGTACTGGATCCAATTAATTTCATTCAAAATTAATTTTGAATTAGAATATTGTGTAAACTTGTAACGTAGCTAATGCAACACCAAAATTATTTCAAATTAACTATAAAAATAATTCTAGCTGTTATAACACTAAATCAAACGTGGAAAATATTAACTTGAATTTTCCTCTTTTGTTTTAGTACTATTTCCACATTAATTTCATTTTATTATTAGTAGTAGACATGCGTTACTTGTACGCAATTAAGTAGAATAAATGATGTATAAATTTATTTGGTTAAAAAATAAAATATTCTAAAAATAGTGATTCTAATAGGACAATTTTAAGAAGTTGGGGGTTATGAAAAAACATTGTAGAGAAAAAAAAAATAAGCGAAAGGAAATATTTTTTAAGAAAATACTCGCATAAGTCTATTTACATTGAATTGAATAAAATAATTTATACTAAAATTGATATATTATTTATAACTAGTATACGTGCCCGTGCGTTGCGCGGTTAGTTGATAAATGTAATTGTAAATATTAATTTATTGACAATTTTAAAATTTAACTTATTATTAAATAATATTATCAAATAAATGCTCACATTAAATATGTATACATAATAACTTTAACAATATATTAAAATAAAAAATAAAAAGTAAAGATTCAAATCCAGCGAATTAAACACCAATCATCCTGCAAATAAAAACTTAAAATCATTAAAAGTTATAAACAAAAAAAAAAAAAAAGGAAAAAAATCAACAAAAACTAATGGTTTGCAATATTTATTGATAAGAGATTTTAATGCTTAAAAAGTGGCTATATCTATATATCAAATCTCACTGATAGCACTGATAATTTATACTAAAATTGATATATTATTTATGATTTTAGTTATATGATCCTTCGTGAATAAGTTCAAACTTTGTGTGTTGTGTCAACTTCAATGTGTATGATAAATTTGAAGAAGTTTAATTATTTTATCGTTCGAACTTATGTAAAAATGTGTGTTACTTTAATATATTATTAAAATTTCATACGAAATATACATGTTAAAATTTTATTAATAATTGGTTGAATGTGTCTTATTTAAAAATTCAATAATATCATCTACAATACAAAAGAAAACATTGATATTTCTTTTTAAGACTGTTGATATTATTCCTAGTTTTATGAGAAAATACAATTGAACAAGATTATCTAATAATAATTCCCCACATTTTTCTGTGTTTAATTTGATTTACTTTATGTTATAAAAAATAAACTTTTAATTTTAAAATATAAACTACAACTTTTATGTTTGCCTTTAGGGAATGAAAAAAGATACAAGTAATTATTATATACAAAGATTATAATTACAAAATTTTAAGTCAAACAATCAAATGATGATGGATTGAACATTATAATACCATATATGAAAAAATGTTATGTTTGTTTCATCAATTATTTCAAATTTCAGCCTATGAATCATTGTTAAAATTATTTCAACTTTTATAGGGATTTTTTAAAATTTGGGTGGGTCTTTACTTGGGTGGGTTATTTTAATTCAATTTTTATTTAGAATTTTGACTTTTATTTATAAAAATAATAATGACGTGGCCAAATTATAATTGGCCACGTGTAAAAAATGGTTTTGCAAAACCACTGTTAAAAAAATAATGGCATGTGGGGTTTCTAACCAATATTGCTCATGGGCTAGAACTTTTTAATTTGATACTGTGTAATACTTCGGTTGTGGTGCATTAATGGGAGTGTCTCACCCTTAATCAGAGGTCTCGAGTTCGAACCCTGGGTATGGAAAAAATCATGTTGAGAGCGCCACCCCGAATGGGCCCTGCAGTGCGCGATCCGAATTTAGTCAGAGCTCTAATGTGGGCTCCGAACACCGAGTGGGAAAAAAAAAAAAAACAAGTTTATGGTGCCAAAATTAAACTTAAATTATAAATTACCCTTCCAAAAGGCTATCAATATCATTTCTGAAAAAATTAAAGAAGTACACAACTTAAAATATGATAATCTCTAAAATTTCTATTATATAAAAAATTTATAAAAATTTCCTCTCGAATACATTCTTATCCCCTCACTGATACATTCATCCTCTCTCTGATATATCCATTATTCTTATCTGATACATCTCTCCCATTAAGTAATGAATCATTTGCAACGTATCAAACAACCAAGAAATGTATCCGAGAGCAACGAAAAAATTCGAGATTTTTGTAATTGAAGAAACTAATGAGGTAGGATGTAATTTCCCCCAAATGTATGTGATTTATGTACTTTATACATAAAAAAAATTTCCAAATGAGTTGTGGGTTTCTCTACCCATATCAGTATAACTAGATTAAGGAGCTTGTGCAAGCATAGACCCAATATATATTAGGGGAAACTACATAAATGAGCAATAAAACTAAAAATAATTACATGTTCATACCCTAATTCGAAGTAATTCAAGAAATACTCATTCTCTCAAAATGATACTGATTTAATATCAGTTAAGCGAAATAATCAGCCTTAATGATACTAATACAATTTATGATACTGACTTAGTATCAATTAAGTGACATTATCAGTCTTAATAATATCAATACAATATATGATATTGATTTAGTATCTGCTAAGCAAAATTACTTGGGGGTATATAGCTAGCGTTTGGCCATAGATTTCCAAATATTCTTGGCAAATATTATTTGGGTGAAATTTTACCATGTGTTTGGCCATAGTATTTGAGAAACATATTTCCCTTTTTTAGAAAAATATGATTTATACCCGAAAGTTTTAAAAATTATCAAAACTAACCATAAGTTTGTATTACAAGTCAATTGGATCTTTGTTGCAACAAATAACAAATAGTGTCCATGACACTGGAGCAATGTAGTAGTTTGGAGTGAGTGTAACAAACATCATTCCATACATCGTGAAGTAGACAAAGCACATGAGTTTGTTACCCTGAGCCGATTGCTCATCATTTTCATCAATAACCATATCATCACTTTCATATTCACTGAATATTTCATTACTACTTTGGTGTTCACGTAAAAAATTATGTAATACAACGCAAACAACTACTATAAAGAGTGTTTTTGTAAAGGATAAAAGTTTGGTGTAAAATTTCAATTGTAAAAGATCCCAAATAATGAGATTTGGCCCAAATACCAGAAAAAACTAGTATTTGGGAATTTGGGATATTTGCCAAAAATAATTGTATGGACAAACACTATTTACCAAATGTTTCCCAAATATTATTTGGATAATCTATGGCCAAACGGGTCATAGTGTAATGGGATAATGTATAAGTACCCCTCTAGACTATGACTGAAATCTCAGAGACACGCCTAAACTTAACTAGGGTCCTATTACTTCCCTAAACTAATTTAAAAAGTGCACAAATTGGACACATGTCATTTTTTTATTTGTAACTTTATAATTAGTTAATACACATATTTATTCATAATAAAACTTATATATATTTAATTATTTTTATTTCCTTCTTCGTAAATATTTATTTTAATTTCTTTTCACTTTAAACTTTTTTTAATTAATTTATTATCTTTTCACTTTTAATTATTTTTAATAAATTATGTGTATTTTTTTTAAAATAATTTAAAAGTGTAATTTTAATGTTTTAATTTTTTTTTATGTTTTATTTGAGTTTCTTCACTTATTTTGATATCCGTTCAAAATTAACTTATTTTAAATACAAGACATTTGAAATCAAATCAAAACGAAAGTCAAAGAAATAAAATCAATTAAAAAATAAAAGAGAAAAAACAATGAATGTAAGTAAAAAGAAAGTTCGAACAAGGTAAGAAAATGTGTATTAACTTAATTTAAAATATGAGATAAAAAATAACAATATTTTTTTTATAAAAAAAATTAAGAAAAATATTTTAAAAAAATATTTACACACATGGCGGACGAGTGTGTACAAACACAACCAACTTGGGTGGTTGAATGTGCCACATTAGCACCAAAGGAGCACAAGAATACAAAAAAAATGAGTTCAGGGGTAATAAGATCTTAGTTAAGTCTAGGTGTGTCTCTGAGATTTCAATCATAATCTAGGGATACCAATGCCTTATTCCTTTTTTTAAAAATTTATTGTGTAAGTTTTTAGAAGAAATTTGAACAATTATGTCTTAAACAAAATTGATCAATATAGTTATTGAATTAACCCACCCCAACACACATGCATCTAAATTTGCTTTATTAATTTTTTTTTAAAATCACATGCCTTTAAAGATTATCTTATCTATTTTTTTGAACCTTCCAAACATGATTCACATACTACCAAAATGACAAACAAAATCAATTTCTCCACTATTTAGTCAAAAAAATGATTTGGGATCGAGTTTGAATAAAGAATATCAATTTTTTTTTTTCTTAGTTAAGTCAGTCAAGTCTAAAAAGGTAAAAAATAATTTAAAAACAATTTAAAAACTTTTCTAATTCAGTTATTAATCAGAAAAGAATAAATATATATTATTTATTGATATAAATATATTAGATAAAAACAATAAAAAAAATTACAACTTTTTTATATTCACTCTGAATCACAAAATTTTGACGTATATTAATCATCCACGAAGGAGAGTTCTTGTAGTACTTAATTTGGAAGAAAGTAAGAAAAACACTTTCAGAGATTCTTTGTTTCTTCTACGCAATTCTTTATCATGACTACCACGGCGGCGCAGATTCCCGAAAACCCTATCAAAACCCTAGTTCAGTCACCGGATCCGAATCCCACCGCCGTTTCCGAAGCTCCGAGTCATGATTCCGCAACTGACTCATTGAAATCGCCACCGTCTGATGGAACCAAGGACCAAGTGAAGTTGGATACGGCAGCAGATGGCGGCGGTGGCGGTGGTGGTAAGGATACTGATATACAGAAAAAGATGAAGCGAGCAGAGAGGTTCGGAATGACGGTTCAGCTTTCGGAAGAGGAGAAGCGAAACACTCGAGCTGAGAGGTACTTTTTGTAGTTAAATTTTGTTGCTTGCATGTTTTAGGATTTGGTATTTGGCTTTAAAACGAATAGTATTACTTCAAAAAAGAGAAATTATTTACCTTTGTCGGAATCCGGAGCAAATATAGATGATTCGTTTTAGTTTGGGGGAGGTTGCAAGTATCCCACTTGATTAGTCTAGGTGCGTGCAAGCTGACCGGACACCACTGGGCTCGAACATAGTGTGTGTGAGTTTGTATAGCTGATTCATGCTTGTTTGGGATTGAGGCGCAGTTGATTGGTTGCTAAAGGTTGAATTCCAGTCTGAGAGGGCACATTAGCTGGACTCCTTGTTTAGGTTCCTAGACATTGAGGGGTAGTTGACTGGTTGGTAAGGCTTAGTGCTTTGTTCTAGTTGTGTACTTCTGTTTATTTCCACAATTTGCTAGGCATAGTAGCTGAACACTAAGTTTAGGTTCCTAGACTTGGGCATATCCTTTGCTTTACATTTACAACCATAGAAACAATTATTTAAAGCTATCTTCTTTTGAAGTGTTGGTGGATTTTGTGTCACATTATCATAATAAAGAAGCAGCAGTCCTGATTTTATATGAATTACAAGAATAACTACTAAATCGTGCCATAAAGGGGTCACACCGTCACACTCCAAACAGCACCATAACTCGTACTGGGAATGCAGTTCAAATTGCCCTTTGTTTTTCTTGTCTAGTGAGGTATTTTAGAAGCATAGTATGGTGTAAGCTGAAATGGGTGTGTGTCACCCGAGTAGAATGGATTAAAGCAGCTAACCGTGCATTCCCTTCATTTCTTAGTAGAGGCTTGAAAGTTGAAAGGCTTAATAATATCTTTTGGATTTATGGATCCTTTATATAAACTATTGTTGGAATTCAAAAAAATTCCAGCATGGGAATCCTCAACTTTTCATCTTTCTTTCCAGCTTCCATACAGTTGATCTTCAAGCCTTACATAGTCCAGCAAACATATCTTGTGCTTGTTGTGAAATGGGATACCCAATAGCCGGCCGCAGACATTTAATTCATATGAGGATCTATCTTAAGTTGTTCTTACCCCCTTTTGTTGAACTGTTTTGTGTCAGGTTTGGCACATCTGCACCTCAGGGTTCAGATGCTTCAAAGAAAGCGGAAGATCAGAAGAGGAAAGCTAGGGCTGAGAGGTATGTGTACTATCTATTTGGGCTACTGCCAGCTGGGTAGTTTACTTGTTTATGTGTTTGTTGATAGATTTTGGTTCTGTCAGGTTTGGGCTTAGCCAATCTAATAGTACTGATGAGGAAGCTAAGAAGAAAGCTAGGCTGGCAAGGTTTGCACCTCCTGCGAAGGCTGATCCTGTGGAGGAAGATAAAAGGAAAGCTAGGGCCCTCAGGTTACGATGAGACCTTTTCACCTTTTTCTTTGTGTCAGCTGAGGGTCTAAGATATTTCGGCGTCAAATTGGTTTATGACTTTGACTGATGGTGTTATTTGACAGGTTTTCACAGTCCCAGTCTGATTCCCAATCACAAGAGAACGGCAAAGAAAAAACTGAGCAGGTTTCATTTTCTATACACTATAAGTGAAGTTTGTGATTTGAAATGAATTTGAAAAAAGCAGCAGTCAGTATGTGTTCGCTTTGAATTTTTATGTGATCATATGTGCACTATCCATGTGTTGCATTACCTTACTTTTACTAGTACAACTTTCTATTAACGATTGCATGTATTCTTAACTCAGGAGACTATTGCGGTGGAGAAGGCTGGAGGAGGAACATGAACCATTCTCAAACTTCCTTCAACAGCAAGAGTTACTTATGATGTATAGTTTATTGTTGCTGTGGAGTGGTTAGGAGTTCTGTTAAAAGTGACTTTAAATTCCCTACGTTTTTGTTTTAGTCGTTTTTTGGAGTTCCTTGTTTAGTTTGATAGGTTAGAAGTCTTAACATTTGCAAGTTCCCTAGTAGCAGGACCATCCTTCAAAATGGGGAAAATGGCTTTTGTCGTCTCCTAGGTTAGCCAGTAGTGCTAGGATACATGGACCACAACCTCCTTAGTGTGTTATTCTGTCAGAAGTGACGACCCATAACCAATATTTGAAATCAATTTTTTTTTTTTAAAAACTTATCTGAAACGATGAAACTACAACCTCAATATTTCCTACTTGAAACCTTTGTTTTGACGACTTCATCATCGGGCTTTCCTTTATCAATCTGCAACTGTTCTTTCACATTCTTGTGGTTTTTCCTTTCACCTAAAAGAGAAAATGGTGCATATCAAGGATCTACTGATGATATCATTTATGATTTCTCCAAGTGCTCAATGTAGTACTGCAGATACATGATCTTAGATGTCCACTCTTGTTGGGATTGGTATTGCACTATTTTGGTTAGATCCGGATAGTCCTTCATGACTTGTCAGTAGAAAGTTAATAGATTTTGCAATTTTAGAAGATAAGTAGTCACCTTTTATGACATCTTGGAGGCATCATATGTTAATTCTAGTTTGGTCAGATTGTTAGTGATATTCTTAGTTGGCCTTGCAAGTAGGGAAGGTAAGACTAGTGTTTTATTGCATTCATGGATCTCCTGAATGATATCAAGGGCCTTAAATTTTGTTCAAGAAGAACCACCACTTGATTGTGCTACATCTTTGCAGAGTTTTGAAATTCAGAAAAGGTTTTACTGTAACATTGCTGCCCATATGATGATGAAGTTATCAAATCCATATTTCTATAATATTTTAGCTGGTGTGCTTGGGGTTTATTTACAAGGTCACTATTTCAGATTTTGATGTTGTGGGTCATATGCAACAGATTAACAGTAAGGAGGTGTGGTCAAGTACCTAGGTATCTGGGTGAATCCCGTAGGCTGTAGTCAATAGATGTCGGCGTTAGTATAGGACTACCTTTGAAGGCAGTTGCTTGCTATTTTGTTCTTGGTTATTGAAGCTCAGTAGCAACTGGTAGTACTTTGGTTACTTGAATTGTAATGACAGTAAATTTGTTGGTGACAATCTGATTTCGCACTCTACTAATGTTCATTGCGCTTGTGGTGACTTCTTTTATTTACATCTATATGAATTTTCACGCCAAAATTTGAGGTTTTTGTTTGTTTTTCTAAAATTGCCTCCTAAATTTAAAGTATTGGGATATTTGTTACCTTGGAAACATATTTTGGACAAAAATAGTGTGTACAGCTTAAACTCATAAATAAATTATTGTATCACGTAATTGTCCCAATAAATGAGTCAGGGATATATGTCATTGTCTACATTTATTTTACAAATTATTATAGAGAAGTTGTCTAAACAATTATAATAAACAAGCAATTGGGGCACATGAGGTATAGTTGTGTTTTAATTTCAATCGTTGAATTTGAAACTCTGAACGAAATTATTTATGATATGATAGAGGACTGCGAAATTTAAGTCAAGTTAGTATTTGGCGAAACAACAATTTTTCATAATTACAAATTGCAAAATCTGCAGAACATAACGAAAGTATTCATCCTTCTAATGGTTGTTCCACTTCTTTTCGAGTCTATTGCTGTTCTCACAAAGTATCTCGTGTACATCTTTTCGTTACATTGTTCAGCAAGACGATTAATTGATAATCGAGGAAGATAAAAGTATATTACAAGCCTAAAACCATAAAGAAACTGGAGAAAAGAAGCAAGAAATTCGAAGTGGAGTGGGAATCTGTTCAAGTCTTGGGATCTATCGTTTGGGAGAGGCAGGCATACCACCTCCTCTAATGGAAAGTAACGGAATGTGAGACGAGCTTCTATTAATGGAATAAAGATCCAGAAACACAACAACAACCGAGATATCATCGTGGAAATGCCTCCTTACACCTCGATCAATCTTCTTCAGGTCTGAATATCTCATTTCTCTTTTCTTAGCTGCTACTCGGAGAGCAGCTTTGATTAATCTCCGGGCGATCCCCTGGTCCAAGAGAAAGAAAAAACACACACCCGAGTTAACAATCTCATTCACCTAAGGACGTTGAAGAACAACAGACATCACTTAAGTCGAGCAACAAAGAGTTCATTTCCCTCTTAAAGATGGTATATTCCACACAAAATGCTTTTTGTAAGTCATATCAGCGATGCAAAAAGACAGCGCAAGATTCTTCGATGAAGTTTTAGTAAATCTTTTGTGCCAGAAAAGGCTCTTTCAGCAAGTAAAATTACTTTTATATCGTACTCTTTACATAGTTATACAACAACATCATAAGTACGCAGACCTTACCCTAAGTCGGAGGTGGAGAGACTGATATCCAATAGACCCTCAGCTCAAAGATTCTTTAGATAGTTATACAATAACAATAACAACATACCCAGTGTAGTAACACAAAAGTGGGGCTTGTGGAGGGTAGATTGTAGAGTATACATAGACCTTACTTCTGGTAGATGCTGTTTCAGATAGACCCTCGGCTCAAGACTCTTTAGATACTTAATATAAAAGACAAATCATATTATCAGAGATTGAATGCTTACGTTTCGGGGTTGACTGTTGACTATATCAACAGCCTCCTGGTTGCTAAGATGTTCCCAGAGACCATCTGAACCAAATATGAGGAACTGATCTTTGGAAGTCAATCTGTGAATGAAAATTGATGGTTCCGCACTGAGGATCGGCTTGGAGAAGGATTCGGGTAATCTAAACTTTGCCAACAGGGGTGCCTGATTGAACTCTGCCCTCTTAAGATAGGCATCACCAATTGACTTTGAAACCTGTAAAAGAGGATAACAAAAGGAACATCAACTCTTATGTCACACACACTTCCATGACACCTCCAGTAATGGCGATTTCTTCCAAACCAGCATGCATAATGCAACCACTATTAGTCAAATCTTCACAGCTCCAAAGAAAATTATCTCAAATCTCAATTTTTTTCAGGTATATAAGATAATAAATAAGCGACTTATATTACATAAAGAGTTGATCTCAGAGGACAACATAACTAACTTTTAGGTTGCTTACTTGCAAAGATAATTAACTCCTACGCGGAGATTGATATTATAGCAATAGTCTCTACTCATAACAATCACATCAGAACTAGTAATTACTAAACAAATTTCTTTCTATTCGGAATGGTGCTTGGATAAAGCTCCAATGTTAGCTGCAATTTGTTTTCTAGGTTGTACACCTTTAGAGTAACTTATATGAGGCATATTTTTGGAAAATCAACATGAGATGGCCTAAACATGTGATGTTAACAGATAATCACCTGTATGATACCCTTCACGCGCCAAACTTTGTGTTTGAGAAGCACAATCTGTGAATCCTGGGGATGCAATGATCTAAGTTCATCTCTCACAGACTCATTATTAGCATTGTGCTCCACTGACAATTGAATAGCTGTCACGCCCCTTGAAGCTTTTTCTGCTCTACCTAACACCACACGTGAATCTCCGGCATTAGCAATATATAGTAGTCCATTGCAGATTACACCCACCAAACAACAAGATCCCACTGATGCAAGTTGTGGCTTCTCAAACCATTGCTGCTTCACAAGAGACAAAAACTCCTTATCCGTTTTCAAGAAAGCTTTTTTTATGACATCTGCAGATATTTCTTGATGCTCTGTTGCAAATTCTGTTAATGAAGGGATGAAGGTAAATAGAAGAGTTACTATCGTTTGTACTACACAAAAGCTTTCCAAAATATGAAACAGATCAATATGAGTTCCAGGGAATAATTATCAACATTTTTGGAGGATAATTAGATTTTTTCGACAAAGTTTCAGGGTGAATGACACACATAGTAGTAAGGTTGAAAGCACAAAAGTGTTAAGAGATTCAGATCACGATACTTCAAAAAACATATGGTATCTAGATATGGCACCATTTATATATCTTCCTCGAGTGTGCTTCTACTGGAGTGTCATTGCATGTTCAAAAGCTTAAGTCATTCTACGATTTCTATTCAGAGAAGAAAATATCAAGCTGAGATGTTCAAATCTGATGACAGTTGTGTTTATATAACTAATAGAAGTGACAAACCAGATCTTTATATCTTAAATTTTTATCTAACGTGCCAAATAGACAGCAGAGTTGTAAGATACTTAGTGTATTCATGGTGGTAGTAAAGCAATATCGTGTATAAATACTACAAGTTTGACAAAATAACCAGAAAGTTCTGTCTATAAAGTAGAATCACAAGGCAAAATTCAGTAAAATCTTAGTAATAACCACATGTAGACACATCAAATATTGTGGAAGGCATCATTTTAGACAGCAGTGGCCATAGCAAGATGGATGTACTTATCTGTATCGAAAGTTGGCCAGATTTTTTGGGATCTTAATGTATGTTGATATACCCTTTTTGTCAAGTTAAAACATTCTTGGTTCATTATCAATGAAACACTGGACTTGCAACAAAAATTGCAAATAGCACAATATGTAAAGTCTAAAGATCAGATCTACCAACCTGAATCATTTTTAATATTTATGTTAAAACTTAACCAGCATTGGCATTCACAGCTTTAAAAAATACACTTTCAAAACTACAACATTACCACGATATCAAGAGTCATATTAGTAATAATAATAAGCATCTATGCAATAAAAAAGGAACATGATAAGCTTACTCTTAAGATTGGAGAACAAAGTCTTGTTTACGAAACAGGACGTCTCCGGTCCTCCATGTCCATCATATACTCCAACAAATGTTCCATAAGGACCTGATTCAAGAGAACTCAATGGCCCTGATTCAAGCTGGCTCTGATCCTCCATCAAATTATTAGCTTGTATTATTGCCATTGAAAATTCTCCATTAACATGAACCCCCAAATCCTTATACCACATTAAACCATCAACCCTACCCCTAGTATCCCCACCCCTCCCTGCACCACCATCCCCCTCAACAGAAGGTTTCCAGCAAGGTTTAACCATTTTTTTTTTGTATACAATTTCAATATATAAATATATATCATATAAACCTATATTTATCCAAGAATCTTGATAAAGATTGAATCTTTTTACATAATTTATCCAAAGGAACCAGCAAACAATACATTCATCAAAACCCCCAACCCCAACCTCAAATCCAGTTTTTGCTTATGTTCAAAACCCACAACCCCACAAGCACAACAAGGGCAAGACACCAT